AAATTAAATGGTGAGTGGGCAGACAGATAGCTCAGCTCCCCATCAGCAGCCCCGGCTGGCTCCAGCCCCTGCCCAGCGGCTGCGCTCCCCATGCTTGGTTGCCAGAGGGAAGCCGGCCAAGTGACTTTTCTGTGGCCGCCGTCGGCTCCCTTCCCAGCCTCCCTGCTGCCTTCGGGCCCTCCCACCTCCAGATGGAGCCCCTCGGTCAACCCCTTGAGCCTGCACCTTTGCCTGGCTTCCTCCGCTCGGGGCCCAGCTGCATGGCTCGACGATCCCCACCTGGGCCCCCCCACAAAAGCACTGCAGTGGCGAGGGTGACCCGGAGGCCTTAGGGTGCAAAGGTGGGCAGGAAGGACAGGGGTGGCAGGGCTCCATGGCTCTCCCTCGTCAATGAGAAGGGGCAACGTGGCAGACTGAGTAAGCCCAGCTTCCCTTCCCCTCAGTGAAGGCACCGAACACCCACCGCTGGCGGGCTGCCTTTGGCCCCTTGGCTGGAGGGACAAGACTGAAGTGTAAGTAAGTAAGTAAGTAAGTAAGTTTATTAAGAACAGTCATAAGACCAGCAGAAAAGACTGAAGTGATTTATCTAACCCTCCTTCCTTCCACCCTCCAAGAAGCAGGAAGAGCCCAAGGGTTTATGAAATTGTTTGGGTTGGCACGGCTTACACAACTGGGGTGGGGTGAGGATTGGGCTCGGGTGCTGCAGATATGAAAGGGGGCTAAGGCCCTGACGAGTCAGCTCTTAAGAAAGGGAATGGGCAGATGAGGAGGAAACTGTTCACAGCTATTCACTGTTATCAGCTAAACAGAAACTCCGTGTACACAGGTAATACAGATAGATGGTGGGGACAAACGGGGCAGGCATCCCATCTTTGTCAGTTCCTCGAGTCTTTCAGCTGGCCGGCTGAAAAACCTTAAGGCAAGAATCCCAAAAGTCATGCAGAAAACTGATTTTTAAAAAAGTTTATCCCCCAACTCATCTCAAAACTTATTTCTCTATCCAAGGTCCTTTCCAGAAGAAAAACGGATGTATATTCATTATGATGAAGTGATTGCTCTAGTTACCATGTTGCAGGGGTCATTTCCTGCAGGAGCGCACAGGAGCGGAGCTCCGGCAATAAAGAGCCCAGGGGGCGGGCGCATGCAACAAGCCCCACCCCCTGCTCCCAGCAGCCCTCAGTCAGAGCAAGAAGCAGCCAGGTAAGTTGCAGAGTCCCCCCCCGCCACCTGGTCCAAAACAGTCCAGTGGCACCTTTAAGACCAAGTTTTATTCAGGTAAAAGCTCTCCCTCCTCTGTGAGGACAGATCTGCACGTTCCCCCCCCCCAATAGCTAGCAATCCAAAACAGTCCAGTGGAGCCTGAGCGGTGGGTGTTGCCTTCTGACACACTTCCGGTGATGTCAGGGGGTGTGGCATATGCAAATAAGTTATGCTAATGAGCTCCTGCACCTCTTTTTCTACAAAATGACCCCTGCCATGTTGAATAACTGTTTGGGTCCCGCGGATCTGCTCTGCTCACTGCGGCACTGTTTCCTGGTGCACGGAGCCCACCCCTTTCTCTTGTACCCGCCTGAACAGAACGGATCCACAGGATCCAACCCATCCAACGTAGGTACAGTCAACATGGCTGCATTAGACAAGGATGATCGGGGGCCCGGAGGACAATCCCCACAAGGAAAGGCCGAGGGGCTTGAGGAATGTTCAGTCTGGAGAAGAGGAGGTTTGGGGGGGGGGGACATGATTGCTGTCTTGAAGCATTTGAAAGGTTGTCATCAATACTCCTTCTCAGGGCTTTTTTTTGTAGAAAAAGCCCAGCAGGAACTCGTTAGCATAATAGGCCACACCCGACAGCAGAAACTCATTAGCATATTAGGCCACACCCCATGCCTTCCCTTGGCTTGCCTGGGTGCCCCGTGGTTGTGGGGAGCCTGGGCAAGCCCCCCCCCCTTGAAGAAAAGGGAAGGCAGTTTAAACTGCCTTCCCTTGGCTTGCCCGGGCACACCACAGCTGTGGGGAGCCTGGGCAAGCTGGCCCATGGACAGGCCAGGGAAGGCACGGGGAGGCCTTTAAATGCCTCCCTGATCCTTCCAGGGGCCCCTCTGGCCCACCCTCCTTGGAGTCACTGGGGGTGTGTGTCGCTCTCCAGGCCTTCCCTCTGTAGCCAGGCACGCAGAGGTTTTGGCTGTAGTGGGCGTGGCCAACTCTGAAGCCAGCCGGAACTCTGTTCCTGTGCGTTCCTGCCCAAAAATAGCCCTGCTCCCTCTAAGCTGTGGAGTCTTGTGAGCAAAAATCCTACTTTTGTGAGCTACTGGCATTAAAGCTGTGAGCGAGCGATTTGGCTACTGCATCAATTAGAATTACTCTGGAGCCATCCTTCCTGAGCTAAGACAAAAATGTGTGAGCCGGAGGCTAAAAAAACTGTGAGCCAGCTCACACTAACTCAGTTTAGAGGGAACACTGGAGAGCTGTTCCTGTTGGCAGCAGGGGATAGGACTCGCAATAATGGGTTTAAATTATGGGTGGAAAGATACCAGCTGGATATTAGGAACTTTTTTTTAACAGTAAGAGTCGTTCAGCAGTGGAATCGGCTGCCTGGGGAGATGGTGAGCTCCCCCTCACTGGCAGTCTTCAAGCAGCGGCTGGACAAACACTTGTCAGGGATGCTCCAGGCTGATCCTGCACTGAGTAGGGTGCTGGACTAGATGGCCTGTGTGGCCCCTTCCAACGCTGTGACTCTATGATTGCCATAAAACTTTCCTGTTACTTCCTCTTAATGCATAAACTTGTATTTGCCGCTGGAAAGAAAGAGCAACCAGCTCAAAATCTATTTGAGTAAGCCTGCAGACAAAAATAAATCTTCTGCAGTGACTCCTGAATCCCCCCCCCCGTTTCCTCTTTTCCCCCTGTAGATTGGTGCCGCTCTCTTGTTTCTGGGTGGGCTGCTGTTAAGATGGGCTGCAAGAGTGGCACAGTGGTTACAGCATCGGCCTAGGATCTGGGAGACCCGGGTTCGAATTCTCATTCAGCCATGGAAGCTTGCTGGCTGACCTTGGGTCAGTCACACACTTTCAGCCTCACGTACCTCGCAATCAGTGCTCCCTCTAAGCTGAGTTAGTGTGAGCTAGCTCACAGTTTTTTAGCCTCCGGCTCTCACATTTCTGTCTTAGCTCAGGAAGGAGGGCTCCAGAGCAACCTAATTGATGCAGCAGCCAAATCGCTCGCTCATAACTTTAATGCCAGCAGCTCACAAAGTAGAATTTTTGCTCACAAAACTCCACAGCTTAGAGGGAGCATTGCTTGCAAGGTTGTTGTTGTGAGGCTAACATGGGGGAGAGGAGAAGGAGGTAGGCCGCTTTGGGCCCCCACTGGGAAGAAAGGTGGGATATAAATGAAGGAAATAAATAAATGAGGTCCCAGGCGCTGGATT